CTTAATAATTTTACAACTTTATTTTTTACAATGAATTTATAATGTCTTTTAATTTTAACATATGGTATGACATAGACATCTAACAATTTTTATAAATTTTCTCTTCTTCATATATTTCCCAACTTGAAAACACATTTTTTTTTTCTGTATATTCTGGTTATTTTCTTTGGATATATCAAATCAAGAGCTAGGTTTTGAATGGGTTAGGCTCAAGCTCTCTAGAAGATGCAAATTAAGATGCAATAAGATTCCATTTTTCACCAAGCAAAGATCTCTACTGAGTATTCTATTAGGGATGTTGAAGAGGCAATTGGATACAATGAATCCTTCAAATAGCTTATGAGCTATTTTTAATCATTTATCTTAGAATTTTACACACACTTTTTAGAGTTTACCACAAAAGTCTTTCCGAAATTTACACTGCAATTATTTTTAACTTTAAGAATTAATGACTTAAACACATTTTATTAAATAAAGTTAGTCTATCATCTAATGTGTCTATGCATCCATGATAGAATGTTATGAGGTTATTATCAGCCACACATTGTTTCTAGTCTTGTCTATATCTGATAACATTTTAGTCTTCAGATTCTCATGTTATTTTTATACATATAACAATATTACCTTGCAGTAATAGAAAATGGGTATTTTTTTTCCTTTGGGCTTCTGTTTTTAGCATTCATAAAAATATACATTACACCTTTCATTCAGAAACTATATGTCTACTCCAAGTAATATTACTTTGAGGAAAATCAAGAAAATAATACTTAGAGGAAAAAAAGATGAAAAAATAATAGTTTCTTAAGGATCCTTCCAATTCTTAAATTTTATTATTTTGAAAAAAGTAGTAGTTCATCATTTGAAACAGGCTCCAATTAATATTCTAAAAAATTAACATTCTAAAGAAACTAAGATTTAAACCAGGTTTTTCAAACCTTTAAGTTACACAAGACAAAAAATAGCGATTGGGCTGGGGATTTAGCGCAGTGGTGCTGCGCCTGCCTGGCAAGCGCAAATTCCTGAGTTCAAACCCCAGTACCAAAAAAAAAAAAGTGGGGATTAAAAAAAATTACATAATATAATGAAAAAAGGAAACTGACTCAGGAAACATAGCAGATCACCAATATATGTAAAATTAGAGGAAGCAGACAATTGTACCTCTGTTGAGTGCTCCATATTCTGTGTGGAAAACACCAACTAGTTTTGTGTAGCCTAGATCAACATGGGCTTTAATAGCCCTTTTAAATGCATCACCCCACAAAGCAGGACCACCAGGTTTCATCTGAAAAGTAGCGAGTTCATAGACTCCTAGAGTAGGGAGAAGAATAATTATTTCACAAAACATATTAAAGTAATTTTTAATCATTTTTTGATTCCAAAAGTACAAGACTAACTTCTTTATACATACTTGAAGGATCCTCCATATAATATATTTATTCAGCCATATTCATTAGTTGTTCACATTAACTTTTCTTGCACTTATGTTTAGAAAGTCTGTGTATGTTTAAGGATTACTTGTGAAGCTTAATCACAGAGAAGAAAAGGAAAAAGGACTAGAATTTATATATACGGTATTAGCTAAAATAATTTTAATCCGTAAACTTTCCTGATACAACTGGGATTTTTGAACAGTTCAAGACTATGAAAAAGAAACTAATAAGAGAAGTATCTTCTGATCTTGAATTTTGAGAGGAGATATTTTATTCTTTGTATAATTTCCCCTTACAGAATTCCATTTCTAACAGGACTAACAAGTGAACAGCTGACCTGAAGTTATATCTGAGTTTTTGAGACAGAAAAACAAAGAGGGCTTTATTAGTCTTAAATATCCAGGTTAACGCTTGTAAAGCTTTTTGCTTCGAATCTGAAGAACAGGGTGAGTGGACATGAAAAAAAAAACCTAAGGGATAAGTAGACCAGATAAGAAAAGTGATAGAAACATACAAATTTACTAAAGAATTATGAACAATATAAAGAGAACCAGGACTTGACACTGCCAGAGAAGCCAAAATTTTTAGATAGTGCTGAGACAGGAGGATAAGGATCTCTGTAAGACTTCAAATTTCCTATAATCTAAAATACACTACAAAACTGGGAATAACAGGGTAAAATAACATAAAATTTAAATTGGTTTATAGTTTTCTAATCTGACCTTTGCTTTAAAAGTGAATTAAGGTAATAGTTTAAACCAGCAATTTTCAAATTGAAAAATAAGAAAAAGAAAGATACAAAAGTTGTGTTACATTAATATAGCTTAGCAACTTTCAGATAATTCATTCCTTCCAAACAGTTCTATAAACAAAGATGTACTTAATAATTTAAGGTTATTAATAATTTTGGGGAAATATATTATATTTAACTCTTCAGAGTATTTAAAAATTATGAATTTCATACATTTCCCTTACCTACCCACACATGGAATCCCATCCCAAAGTGTAATTTCTCACACTTCCCAGAGCAGGTAAGACTTCTTTTATAACAGCTAAATTTACCAATCTGTGAAATCTCAATATGGGAAAGTTCTCCATTAATTATTTTAAGGATAAGCTAAGAGCTTCGATTTACTCTTATATCCACAATCATAGCATGTTGACATATAAAACAAAGAAAGAGTTTTGTTTTTTCCACTAGTGTAGTACTTTGATTTTTTATTACTTGAGATCCTTAGCACTGTATTCATCAAAACAAGGGAAAACATACCTTCTTTTTCAGGCCTTTCTATTTTGCACCATGGGACCAGATAAGTAATCTCATTCTCTTGTTTATCAATGTGACCCAAATTAGGAATGAGGAAATGTTCTTGCCATTCCTTATCTTTGGCCAAAGCTTTCCGAACTGCAGTTCGATGAGCAAAATTATCTATGGGAGAAAAGAATTAAGAAAAATTTTAATTTAAAATCATCTATACTTTTCTAGATTCTATGCAAATCAGCAAACATTTACCCACAGGACATAGGAACACTGTTATGCTTTTGGAAATGCCAACCTGAAGAGATGTGACATTTGGTCTCAAGTTGCACATGGTCATAAGCGGAACAGAAATGCAAAGGACAACTGTAATGTCCTACAATGGGCTTTATAGGTTCTACTACCTTGCAGGTAGCTGTGTGAATTAGGTAGGTTATTGTACTTTTCTGTCTCAGTTTCTTATTCTGTGAAATGAAGATAATAATATATAGACCTCCGGGTTTGCTGTAAGGATCTTTGGATATCCTCAAACCCTGATATGGACTATTAAGTCTGGACACTGGTATAACAAAGATTCTGTGGACTCTTGGAACTTGTTCTTTTTTCTTAGGGATATATAAGCTTCAATATGGGAACATTTCTGATTCCTTTCCTTTTACCACCCTAGAATAGCAATAATTCCTAAAAAGAAACAAAGGTGGTCTCTAAACATAAAAGTATTATTAAGTCCCAGAAATGAGTGAGTCTTAAAAGTTAACTGTCAGTTCCCCTCAACTTCCACTACCTAAAGCCCCCAAACATTTGAATTATGTCTACTAAGATGCTGGTCTCCAGCCCTACCTTTGTTAATAAGAAACAAAGCCTTGCTAATAAGAAACATTGGGCATGGTGGCCCATGCCTGTAATCCTAACATTCAGGAAGCTGAGACATGAGGATCAGTTTCAGACCAGTCTGGGCTTTATAGCAAGCTGAAGGTTTATCTGAACTATGTAATAAGACTCTACCACAAAACAAAGTAGAAAAAAAAGATAGTTTTCTTTTTGTTTTGTTATCTTAATCTAATTGAGGTCTTAAAGTACTACTTTAAATTTTTCAGAAACTATCTTTTCAGTAAACTATTCTAAAATTTTTTCTGAGAATTAGTCTGGTTCATCATGTTATAATTTCATACATGAGACTACATGTTCCCATGCATAATAACTTTAAGAGTTTGAGCAAAGGGTCCTTACAGATGGACAACTGTATGTAATACAGATCCAAGAAGTAAGCCTCATGTAACATGCATCAGAATCAATATAGCACTCAATACTTAATTGGAATGACTCATACCATACTTCCAAATATGAAATGTTTTGTTCATTCTGCCTCCAAATTCTACACTCCAATATCCAAGCAATTCAGAATGAGCTGTCCGAAGATGAACATTTTTCTTTAAATTTTCCAGGAACTCATTCATTTTTGAGGGTTTAAGATAATAGGTACGAAATTCATAGAGTGTTCCATCCTTTTGTCTGGGGCCTGTAGCAAAAGACGAGCACACCTGAAGAAAGATAAGGCAAATTTAAATATTTGGGAGAAGATAGGTTTATTATGTTATAACCAAATCTGAGTGTGGCAACAGTTGGCACCCCAGTCATCTTGTTTGCTGTTCTCCTGTCAACTCCCCACAGAATTGTGTTTCTGTACAGTTAGCAGTAAAGAAAACTACTCTTAAATATACTGAATGCATCGCTACTGTTTCCTACCAAGGCTTGACCTTCAGCCACTTTTAATGAGAATTTGTTCACATCAAAGCACTGGAATTTTAATATTCCTTAACCTGAGAATTGCAATTAGCATTGTCCTAAGTTTACACAGTCAAAACTTATTAATCAAAATTTTATCATTAGTCAGTAACATATGTGCTTAAATGATGCATCTAGAACTTTACTAATTCTGCATTCATGTCTTGGCAGGCATGATGAAAACGTATTTACTAGCAGAAATTTTTTTAAGTTCTTAAAACACGGAAATTATTATTATGTCAAAGTTATTTCTTACTCACTTAAATACATCATTGGTCAAAAATAGGACAGCAATGTAACAAATGTAATAGGGCGCTACATGCTATTTAACTGCACTGTTAACACAGTCAGTGGTGGACTGTATTAGGGCATTTGGTGCAAAAAGGGGGTCGGTTCGTCGCTAGCGGCTGATGGACCAGACTCCATTTACTTTCAGTGTGAATTGGTCTAGACTTGTAACCCAAACAAGAAGCAAGGCAGCACCAGGGCCCGGCAACCACGTGACAAACGCTCCAGGAGGCGCAGCTGCCTCGGACTGGCGACAGTGGCGCTCCAGAGCCGCTCTGGAAACCAGCTGTCACCCAGTACAGATCCTCGTCCCGGGCTTCCTAGCGGTGCCTGTCCTCCTCTGCGTCCTCTTCCTCACGCTAATCCCGCCCCAGATCAACCCGCTCCCACCAGAACCTGGGCTTCGGTGCGGAGCTCAAAGGTTTTAAAGCGACCCGAGGGGAGGCGGCGCGCATGCGTGGGGATTGCACGCCCCCCCCCCCGCCCGCAGTGCTGCTCGGGCGCGTCCCCGCGGCCAGTACCTGAGGCGCGCGCGCCCGCGGGGCCAGACCTCTGGTCAAGGGACTTCCGAAGGCTAGCATGGCGCGGCTCCGAGCGCTGAGGAAGGCGGCGTCCGGTGAGAGGTTCCTCTCACAGCTTCCAGATGGGAGAGGCTCGAGGAAGGAACAGTGGGTGGTGCGCGCAGGGGCGGGGCTTGGCGGTTTGGCTCCGCCCCGCGCGGGAGGCACTGTCAGCCCCGAGTCTGTGGGTTGGGTGCTGAGCCTTTCCTCCCCTTGTTTCCTCAGACGTTGTGGGCCCCCAGTCCAGAGGTTTTTTGAGAGTGGGCTGACTGCTGAGCCCGATCCTTTCCACCCCTCTGGGTCACCTGTTCGTCCGCGCAGTGAGCACTGTGTAGAATTCCTGTGTTCTGTGCGGAAGTGTGCAGGAAGGGCGGGTGTGGGGAGGCGGGGTGTGTAATGCTTTGCACCTGAAATCGTGAGGGTTTGATCTTGTGTGATAGACTGGAGCAGAAAGAAGCTTTTTTTCTTCTCCATCCTAGTTGCCACCCCAGCATAACCTTGGAAGGCTCCTAATAAAGATTTAGGTTAAATGTTTCTTAAGACCAAAGGAATGGTCCTTATATGAGAAATTAAAATTTAAACGGAGTGTGAAATCTACTACTTCTGTCAGAATTAAAAATAAAACCTCAGACTGCTGATATAGTCCTTATTATCCTAGAATAACTTCATTTAAGATTTTTGAGCTGTTTTTATAATATGTATTTTTATCTTTCTCAGGCATATTCTGGTATTTCATGATTTTTCAGTCTTGGATAGCATCTATTGACTTGTAGGATGAGGATTTAGATTTCACACTGTATCACTGGACAGAGTTTGAGTGGGTTGTTAAAAGCTGTGATAAGATATCTAACTCACCCAACTTGTAGAATTGTAGGTTTGCTGATGTTGTTGCTAATATGGAGACCTTTTTCCTTAATGTCTGCTTTTCAGGGATACCCTCCATGTGTGTTTAATTATAGGCTTTTACGTCTGTCCCAGGATCCAATAACCTGTTTATTTGGGTAGATAGGCTGCAGTATATTTGGCCCAGTACCCAGTTCTAAAGACAGTCTAGATATTAGCATACAGAGAAAACTAATTAACAGCAACAACTCTATCACCTTGGTTACAGTAATAAAATCTAGCTGTCAAAGATAAACTAGATGTTGACATACCGTAGTAACCAATAATGTACCACCCTTAACCATAGAAAGGAGATCTATAATTAAAGTATAGACACTAAGACAAACCAAATATTGACCTACAGTAAATATTTACTATATAGAACAACTTTAACTCCATTAGAAATAGAGCAGTATTTAACACTAGTAGTGAACTGTCTAAAAATTCATAAAAGATTCATAAAGCTTAATAGAATTAATATGAGAAAATGAATAAATGGAAACAAAGTCTTTGTAGATAGGGAGGGCTGGAGGGGTTGAAGAGAGGGCAGGGAAATGGGGAAAAAAATAAGAACCAAGATAGATTATGTAAAGGTGCAGATTTCCGATGATGAATGTCATTAATTGTATACCTAAAATGTACCAATAAAATTAATTTAAAAAATTCATAAAGATTAATGATTGTACTAGTAAATATAGACAGGGTGGGAACTAGAGAATGAGAAAAATAAAATTTGAAATATTAATGGAAAATGAGGAGGAGAAAAAAGTGAGAGGGGATTATACTGAAGAGTGACAAGTAATTAAAAGTATTAAATAAGAGTACCGAAAAAAACAGTGCAAAATAAAGGAAAAAAACAAATGAAAGGAAAAAGCTAAAAGGAGAAGAAAAAGAGACTACACTCCACACCCCCCTGCCCCCCAAAAAACCGTGAAAGAAAAAGGAAGAGAAAAAGAAAAGAAAAAAGTTGTGTCAATTGCAAAAAAAAAAAAAAATCCTCAGGGTTTTTTTTTTGGTTTGTTTGAACTCCGGTCCTTGCGCTTGTGCAGCAGGCGGCAAAACCAATGAGCTAAATCCCCAGCCCCAATCCTCTGTTTTTGAGTGAGTTGATTCTTTCTAAGATCTAGAGTCTCTGAATCCAGCAAGTCATGATTTTCTCTGAGGGCTTTTCTTGGGCCTAGTGCTCTGGGCCATGTTGGTTATTTCTCCCTCAGGTTGTGGACTGTCCTGTTGGTTACCTTCTCCCCTGGGGTGATGGCTGCCTGTAGGATCAGGTTGGTTGGTTGGTTGGTTGGCCCGAGATTCTGGTGGTCGTTATTGAGGAGAAGCAAAACACATAAAGGGCTTGGAATCTGAAGGTGGCCATGACCAGGGGGCAGAATCCAAGGGCACAGGTTTCCAGGGGCGAGTGACACAGAGGGGACAGGCTCCTCTTCCATCTGTGTGGGTGCCGTGGGTGGGCCAAGAATTAAACTGTTGAAACTTGCATCTTTAAAATTGTCTTCATTCTACCAAATCTCTTGATTGACAATTTGAATGGGTACAACCTTCTACATTAGAAATCTTTATTCATAATTTTACTCATTTACAGTAAGTTCTAGTACAAAAGTCATGAAATTGGAAATGCTGATTCTTTGTATGAGGATTGTTTCTTATTCTCTGTGGAAACTAATGTTTTAGAGGGTGTTTTTATTTTTATTTTTTGGTTTTGTTTTTAAATCCAGTGTGCTTCACTAGCTTACTAATAGACTCATCTGGACACTAAAACTGAAAAACTTATTGTTTCTTGAATTATTTTCTTGTTGATCTCAAGATCTTGTCTTACTAGAACACTGTGCCTCATTTGATCCTCTACTTTTCTTTCCTGCTCTCCCTCAGAGACAGGGTTTCACAGTATAGTCCAAGTTGGTATGGACTCAATACCATTTGTAGCTCAGGATGACCTTGAGCCCATGGTGATCCTCTTGCCTCAGCCTCCCAACTGCTCAGATTGCACGTGTATGCCTCCAAGCCCAGTTCTTTTTATTTTGTGTGTGTGTGTGTGGGGGGGCTATATCACAATTTTATCTTTTAAATTACCTTATTTTGTTTTTAAATTTCTGCTTTCACAATATTTACTTCCAAGTGCTCATTTTTTACTTCTTCCCCAGAATATATCCTTATTTCCCTCTTTCTTCATAACTGTCATCCTTTTGCTTGGTGAGTTCAATACTTTTATCTCTCTAATGATATTAATTACAGGTACAGTATTTTATTTTTAAAATAGTTACTGTTTTAGGTCTTCTTCCTGAGTTGTTTCTTTTTTTGTTCAACCTTTGTTATGTTTTCTGATTTATTTTCTGTCTTTGTTACTAGATATTTTTCTAAAATTTTTTTGTCATTTCAGTTGTTTTGCAAGTTTTGTAAATGTTGTTTCCATGCAAAGAATTTCTTAGGGGAGTGGTTCTTAACCTTTTTTTGTGTAATAAACTTTTGGAAATCTTGTGAACCTATGGAATTCTAATGCTTTTATATGTTTAACAAATATATATGGTTGTAAATAAACTGAACTGTGTTGAAAGAGAATTATTAATATATGAATCAAAGTATTGAAAAAACATAGATATATGTTGTTATTAAGACTTTAAGTGATAAATCTAATGGTGGATATAAGATAATTTTGTAGTGATAAAGAGAAAAGAAATTTTGATGTATTTGCAACTGTTGTAAATGGAATTTGAAATATGTTTGATTTTTTTTGCCTTTAAAAGTCACAGGTCCTGATAAAATACTGTAGTTTATTGTCCCCCCTTTATATAAGCAAAGGGAATGGTTAATTTTAGTTAGAAGTAGGTGTGATAAAGATATAACTTTTACCCATCCAAGTTACCAGACCTTCTCAGTTCTATCAGTAGACCTCTTTGGGGCAAGTTACAGGAAGTTACAAACTACTGCTCTAGAGTATATACCCAGGAGTGGGATTTCTGTTATGAAACTTATATTCATCTTTGCTAAATAGTGCCAGAATGTTTTGTAAATTTATACAGCTTATAGCAGTGTGTGAGGTTTTAAACCAACTTTTTTTATTGCTCATCTGGCCTGATGAATGTGAAGATGTATTTTTTATACCCCATATAATGAATGCTATCAGTTGCAGGGTGGTGGAAATTATGGAGGGCAAAAGAAAAAATCTGCTTGATGATGTTCCTGCTTGGTTCTGCCCTAAGGTCAGGCTCATGCAGCTGCACAGAAGGAAACAGAAGTGGGTCCAATGCTGGCCCAGCAGAGTAGGAGGGCAGTAGCTACATATGAACTCTGCATGCTTATGTTCTGTTGCTCTGTCACTGGGTAAGTGCTTTCATTTTTTAGTTCCATCTTCTATAGCCACTAGATAGTGGCATAGACTTGTCTTTCTTTCATTAGGTGTTAAACTGTGCACATACATCTATATTTATTTCTTATAATTTATCAGTATTTAGTTTGGTGTTAACTTACTGTTTTGTGATACTTGATTATGTGTCAGAAAAAAACATTTCAGTAAGGACATGTCACTATCATGTTTCCAAAGGCCATTATTATTATTATTATTATTATTATTATTTTACAGAGGTTAAGAATAGGAAATTTTATTGAGGGAGAGACAGCTCCTGAGAGAGACAGGAGGGGACCTGGAAAGTGGGTTGCCCTAGGCTCAAGCCTGTGTTAAAAAAGAGAGGTTTGTTGTGTCTTTTCCCCTTCCTAGGTGTTTCAGGATACTGCCTACGATTTTCTGATTCCTTCTTTATGATAAAAGTTCAGATGTTCCTCTATTTCTTATGATGGCTGGTTGGTAAACAGCTTACAGGAAATCAGAACTCATCAGATTAAAACTTCCTGTGAAAAACATACCAAGTTTTCTGTTCAAGGTAAGTTAATAGTGCTTTTAGGAGTAGGCTTCATATTTAAAATTATTTTCTTCACATCTCAGGACAATTATTATTAAAATATATTTTGTAGCTTTCTTATGTCCTGGGAGTTTTCTGAAGTTTCTTCTACTTAGCACAAAATAGAAACTGAAAAGAAAGAAAAAGTCATAACTTTATAGATCCTTTGTATAATTCCTGCTTCACACTGTTTTTCATTGGAAATGAGCTATTTTTTGAGCCTTTGTGTTCTGGAATGAATCCATATTAATAGAGTATTTTTATGATAAGCTCTTAAACAAGTTTGAAAGAGTTATTTGATTGATTAATCTTTTTCTTGTTCCTGTTTAGCTATGGTTCTTTTTTTTTTTTGGTACCAGGGATCAAACTCGGGACCTTGTGCTTGCGAGGCAGGCAGTAGAATCACTGAGCTAAATCCCTGGCCCCTATGCTTCTTATTTTTAAGAGCTTAATGTATTCTGAAATCACATCTCCCATTCCTACATCACTTTCTTTAAGGGAGTGTCAGTGATACCTATTTCACAGGCAGATCATCACATTGCAACATGCCTGTATCAGGTAGGTGCTAGATGTACATTGTACTTTTTCTTTATCCTCTTTTTTTGGTTACTCTCATTTTACTTTGTGAAGTTGATATTTCTGCTTTGCAGGGTAAAACAAAAATAGAAAACAAGATATTCACAGAGGTTAACACTCACCAAAGGTAACAAAGTAAATTGTTTAGACCTGGCTTATTCATTACTCTACAGTATTCTGGGGTATGAATATACTTAAACTTTGTTGTCCCTTTGCTACTGATAGTTAAGTATTTCCATATGCTTATTTTATAAATAATGTTTCAGTGAATAACTTTGCATACTTGTAAATGGAATGACTGAATGCACTTCACTTCACTAGATCCTGCTTATTTTTTTTATATTAATTGGTACATTTTAGGTATGCAATACATTTACATTTATCATTGGGTGTTTGTACCTGAACATGATGTATCTTCATTCTTACTTTTTTCCCCATTACCTCTGCGCTCTTCACCCCCACTACCCTTCCCTATTTACATAGACTTTGTTTCCATTATTTTTCTTTCTCATAATTTTTCCTTTCCTTTCTTCCCTTTCTCCTTCCCCTCCTGCCACCCCTACACCTTTGGACCTTTTCCTATTTCAAATGATCAGTTATTCGTTTTAATCATTTTCATCCTTATTTACACTTTCAGTTTCTCACACTAGAGATACTATTCGGTATTTACACATGTGTCCTATTTATTTCACTTATGAGTATGGCCTCAATATGCATCCATTTAGCTATAAATGTCTCTAGTTTCTCATTCTTTATGGCTGAGTAGTACTCCATTT